AATTTCATCGATAGATTTCAAATTTCACCTAAAAATATGCATCCGTTTAGGAGTTATAACATTTTGAATTTTTGTGAAAATTGTTGAGCCATCTCTCAAAAATTCAAAATGTCATAACTCCTGAACGGATGCATATTTTTAGGTGAAATTTGAAATCTGTCGATGAAATTCGATGTAGATTACGATTGAATTTTAAAAAATGGAATAGTACAAAAAAGCAAAAAAATTTTTAGGGGTAGCAATAAGATTTTTAAAAATTTTTTCGCAAACTTCGATCGCAAAAATTTTTTGAATAAAACTCAGCATTTAGGCTCAATATCACCCTCCATGAGTTTCATCTGGGTCCCATGCTCTGAAACGGAGATCCAACATGTCCAAAAAATCCTGCACCGCCCATGCTGTGATCTATCAGATCTTCTTGTTTCGAAAAAATATCAGGTTTGTTATATAAAGTTTTCTTACATGTTGTATCGCAATTATTATAATGTCACCTGGAAGGGACATTTCGGATTTTAAAAAAATAGATCGCAAAAAAAGTATTTCATAATACTAATGATAGATTCGAATTCCTTTACTCTGAAAACTTTTAGTTAAATTGATCTACTATAACTATTCGGTCGATAATGTTGTTTTTTTCCTAGTTCATATGATTCTTCATATAATCGAAGCAATATCAAGAAAAATACGATAAATTATGAAAGTGAACTATAATTTTCCTTATTTCGTCACGTTTATTCAATTGGTATTTATATCATTGCGATAATTTCAGAAAGAGAACAGTATTGTTTACGCTTTTCAAAAATTTCTCATTATTATTCTTCTCATCGATTCACATACAATAAGTATTTGCGTATACATAAATGATTAATCTAATTGATCAAAATTTTCATGTGAGATATCGTTTGTTGCAATAATAGTAATTGGAATAGTACTACGATCACACTGTCGAACGAATTCTACAAGTGATTTACAGATAGACTCAATATCTCTATATCAGTCCTTTATTTTTAATCAATCCTTTGTCAATTGTTCTTCATAATTCTTAACATAACATAAGGTCAAAACGTAAGATAGTCGTGACATTTCATGTATAATCGATAATATGATTGAAACAAATGTATCAGACAGAATCATTAACGCTTAATTGGCATCTTGATTGTCAGTCAAAATATTGAATATATCTTCTAAGTTAAGATTTAAAACTGTTCTGTAACACTTTATACTGAACTGAGAGCGGGGTGTGGGTGGGTGTGTGGGTGTGGGTATAGACAAGAATCTACTTATCATCGACACCTATTTCATATTCAAATCTCATCTACACCTACACCCTTAACGAGTCGAACAAGAGTCTTCGATAGAGCGACTGAAGATAAAGCGCTACCGGTAAGAATGAAGTGTTTGAATAATGACGCATCGCTCTTGTTTAATAATGTGTGCAAACATAAATGAAATCTCTGCAGCAATTAAGCATATTGTCATGATGAGAGAGTGTGGGTGTGCGGGTGTATTGCTGTCTTATTGCCTAATACTCTTACACATCCACATCCACACTCGCTCACCCACACCCCACAAACTCACACCCACGCCCACACCCACACCCCACACCCACACACTCACCCACACCCCACACTCACACCCAAATTTTCAATTAATTCGTTTGGATTTAATATATCTTGATCAATATCAAATAAAGTTGCTAATGCTTCAGAAAAACAGTCACCATCATCTAATACAAGTAAATTATTATGTTTAGTTCGTTTTTTCGATAATTCGATTTTAATCATTTGATTTAAATGAAAAATAACATTTAATAAACGATACTTGTCATAAGTATAACGTAAATGATATGGTGACTTTTCAAAGAAATTTTCTTTTGGAATTTGAAAAGTTTTTAATAAGAATAATTCAAATTGTTTATTGTGTGAATATGATGGAAGAAGAATATAGAAATCATTAGGCAATGCACCAAGAACTATTAATGCTTCTACTTGTGCCCTTACATCACCTAATTCATGTTGAATATTTTAATATTGTATAATCTTTCATTGGTTTCATTTTTCAAATGATTTCATTATTGATGATAATAATTCAACATCAGATAAACGAATACATTCTTGGGGAACACGATTTTCAAATGGAATATGTGTACTCATCTTCTTCTTATATTGACTAATCAAATGTAATCGAATACTAGTTGACTGTAGAGTTGATCACATATCAATCAATGAAACATGTTTGAAAAAAAATCGAATTCAAATTTCAATGTATCACATGAATATCATATACTTCAGAATGCGTTTATCTATTTCGCTCTAAACTTCTATCATCTAACTTTACACTGTACTCATTCTAAAACTAAATCTCTTCTATTTACATTCGATGAGAGGAGAAAATAGAATAATTGATTAAATTCGCTCATTCGTTGTCATTTCACTCGTTTATGACTAAACAAATCGATGTCGAAAATGATGGCGAGATAAGATAACTATTTCATATATAGTATGGTCTCTCATCAGAGGAAACAGACAAATAAGAGAAAGAATAGCAAATGCTCTGTCATTGGTTGTTTGATTTTTGGAAAGGTCTCTATATAGGATTGATACTAAGAATAGAGAAAATTTTTCTCTATCGAACTGCATTTCTGTTTTTTCTTGGAAGTGTCTTGAGACATGAAATCATCAGAATATATTCTGATCAATCCTAATCCAGATCATTTACGGTAATGTTATTATTGAGACGACATGGTCAAAATTTTTTTTTGAGTTTATCAATTTTTTAGTCAAATCAAGCTCTTCCATTATTAGCCGATGCGATGAATTGATTGGAAAATACCACAGAAATCTGTTCTCTCTACTTACGAGGTTCCACTAAATGCATTATGTAACCATAGAATACCATATTTTGTTAGGCATATATCTCAAAAATCGTTCTTGAACCCGAGAAACGGACTTGACTAATTGTTAGCAACCTAGTACGAGAATGTACTATGTTAATAGTATTTCCTGGTAAAGTGTCTAGACATGTAGTGCCCCCCAAAGTGCATTTTTTGATATTGATTTGATGAGTCATCCGGCTGAAAGCACATGCCAATAATACTCTTCCATACTTTCTTATTCATGTCACATCGGAAGTGGGTTATCATGAAATGAAAGGTTACATTTCACCAAATTTAAATACCACATTTATTAGGGTGTGGATGTGAGTGAGGGTGTCAATAAACAGAACATACTCACGCACATGCACACTTACACCTACACCTTCTTCAAATAAGAGCCGTAGCAAATTGTGTTGATTCACCAATATTTTTCATTGTTTCTGCAATTACAGGAAGAAGCTTCATCTTTTCTGTCGTTCCAGAACTTGTAGAAAAATAGATGAACTTTTCGGACGAAAGTAAATTCTTCTCTCCACTGAAAGCCATTCGATCGATATAATCGCGATAATCATCCTATGGTATCAATGGAGCTTTCTCTCGAAACCCATCGATTAATACATATCCTTTGTCTTCAGAAGCAGTATCATATGTCGACAAGATTGTACACGAATGATTCTTTTGAAGAATTTTTTCCAATAATTCATTGTTTGTTGTTTGCAGATTGCATAGTGAACCTTGATAATACGATACGAATGCATCAGTGTTCGATTCTTGAGAATTTGAATGCATCTATTTTTCAAGTTGAATTTGATTATGAAGAGAATTGACGGCAATGAAAACGATACTAAGATAAATATTAACTCTTTTATACGGATCTTGTATTTTTAAGGTGGCAGGAGAAAGAAAATGATAAGAAAACAATAGAGAACAAAAAAGATAGTTCATCGTCCCGATAAAGTCCATGTGAGTTTTAGTACGTGGTAAATAAAAGATGCTACAATGACCCCCGACTTTTATTTTTTATTTTGTCGAACGTCATTCCAGTAAAAGGAACTGCTTTCAAGTATACGACTAATTTGCACTGTTGAGACAATATAAATGTAGAATACTGAATGCTTGAAGAGTAGTTCATCCTTAGTTTTTGGAGTCTATGGGCTTTTTTATTTCAAACTGAATTCTAAAATCAAAAAAACCACACCAATTTCTTCCGAATCAAACTTTTCTCGCTTGATACTACGTAGTCTCACTAAAAATCCTTAGTCCCTCCTAGTCCTGCAAAGTCCCCCTTAGTCCCCCCCACAAAAAGCTTAGTCCCCCCTTAGTCCCTTTTCAGGGGACTAAAGCCTATAGTACACAAAACCACAAGCACAGCCTCACCCTCACTCACGCGCCCACACCCGCACCATGGGTGTGGGTGTGTGTGTGGGTCCCAGACCCACACCCACACCCTCAGTCACCCCCCCCCCCCCTCACTCCTAGACTCACGTTTCAGTTTGAAATCAAGTATTATTTTTAGTTGATAAATTCAGACTGAAATTAAATAGCCCATTGTATGAGTTTTTGATACATTTATTTCTCACAAGTAATTGATTCTAACAACTAGAATACAAAGCCACCTGATAAGATCTTTCGTCAGATCAAAATCGTATCGTGGTGGCTCAAAACAAACATGAAACTCTGATTTTCATGATATAGGTATATTTATAAAGTCACTCTTTTCGGAAAAAATGAGTTACGACATGCAACATTTTTCTCGCAATTCAATTTATGGATGTTCATTGCAAAAAATGAATAAACTCGCGAGGTATTTTTCTCATTGAATAGATCGATCTGACATAGTTACATTACATATTCTACTCGATATCTAATATCAATTATCATGTTTCACATTTTTATCCTGTAAGAATTGCGCTAAAAGTTTTTTCATTTTGTGTACTTTATATCACGATGGTTTGAATAAAAAAAGAGATATCTATTCGAAACGATAAATAAAATCATAAGAATAAATGTTGCCTAATTACACAATAACAAGCTGAAATAGTAATTCACTTTTACACAAGATGTCAAGTGGTCCTAACACATCAATAATCTCTTGGATCTGTAGAAATGAAAGATTAGTCGAATGTAATAGTGACGCCAACATTCTTTGGATGGAGCGTAAATTCTCGTTTGTGTTCACCTGCATTGACTTCTTGACCACCATCACCGAACATTACATGTTGGATAAGTCTAGTTGTGATTGCTTTCAATTCTAATCGAGCTAAATCTTGTCCAACACATTGTCGATAACCACCACCGAATGGAATTAATGCATACAGATGATGATCTTTACCTACACCTTGAAATCGTTCTGGATAGAATAGATCTGGATCGATTTTCCAATAGCGTTTATCTCGAGTTAAATTATAAATATTAATCATGACTTCATCACCTTTATATAATTGAGTTCCACTTCCTGGTAGTCGATCATCGATAGTTACATTGCAAACTGTGTAACTTCCAGGTGGAGCAAAACGCAATGACTCATCAATAACACAATTTAAATACTCAAGAGAGTCGAGCTGTTCAATAGACAGGCGTTGAGATTTATTGTCACCTAGCTCAGCTTTGATTTGTACTTGAACACGAGGATTTTTACTTATAAGATGAACGAACCATGCGAGTGCAGTCGATGTTGTTTCGTAACCAGCCACAAGAAACATGAGCATTTCCTGAAGTACTTCATTACGAGATAGTTCTCAAAAAGAGAACAGTGTTTTCATAAAGACATTTCTGTCGAAAGTAACTGATTTACCTTTCTGTTTATCGTCTGATTTAGCCGCTTCGCTCTTCTCGTCTTGCTGCAAAGAATTAACAAGTGATGCAATCAGACTAGTTCTCTTTCGTTCGGCAATCGATTCTGATGTCTTGCTTTGTTCTTGTTCGATCATTCTATTAAAATCCTCGCGGATAATATTCATCGCTTGCTGATATTGACGACTGAATTTCAGATAGATTTTAGCCACAGTTGGTGGCATGTAGAGAGTCCACAAAACACTATCCATAAAATCGAATAAAGCTTTTCTCAGCTTATTGGTTTTGACACTATCAGTATCATCATTTAACGCTCCTAGATCATTGTCAAAAGCAATCAAGCCAAATATTGCGAGTATTAGTTCTTGAAATTGGTTTCCTATGTCGAGATGAATACGAGTAGGATCATCATTCTTCAAACGCCATCGACCGAGCAATTTGTCTGTACAATCATTGATTAGGTCCAAATCGCCCAAGACTTTACTACGACGAAATAGAGGAAGGACTATACTTGCATGACGCTTGTATCTGACTCCTAAAATATAAAGAAATAATCAGATATGAGCATCGTTTTTTCTGTATGCAATCTATATTCTCAAAAAATCGAACTATTCAACTATACTATTATCTCTATCACTGACCTATGTTGGCAATTAGTGAATCGCCTAGACAAGGTGCAATCTGTTGCGTGTGCATATTGCCTTGTTCATAGATGTGTCGATGACTAAATACATGTTGTATATCTTCAGCGTTGCATAGATCAATCACTCGCAAGGGTCCTGCAAAATATTGATAAACATTGCCAAATTCGGCTTGCATTTGCAAATTGATAGTAGCTGGAGAAACTCCGCGTAACATGCCCATCTGTACGATATTTCCAAATAAAAATTGAGGTGGTTTTCCGGGCAAAGGGCCACGTAGAGTAAAGTATTTTAGTTTGATGTAAATAGCAAATATTATTAGCAGAGTAACGACAAGAACAAGAAGCATCATCATCATCATTCATATGCACAATGTACAAAGTAATGTGCTTTGACTTTGCTTTTCTTTTGTATCGGAGCGCTGCGATAAGAAGCGCAAAAGAAGAAAAAAAAGATTTTAGTCTTACCGTCATCCCGAAATATCAAAAGCCGAGAATGATAACAATAAGAAAAAAAATTTCAAGGCTGTTCGACTATCATACTATATACTAGAAATAGATATTTGCATATAATACTCAGGTGAAATAAGCACCGCCGTAGATGACTATGCACAATGTAATTAGGGCCATACATGGTCGTGTTTTGGTGATTTTTGGTAGCCGTATTACAACTATGTATCACCTATCTTGAGGGTGACAGTGTGGATGGGTGTGGGGTGTACGTGTGGATGTAGACGGAGGTGTGACTGTGGGTGTGGATGTGGGTGGGTGTGGGTCTGGGGTATGGGTGTGGGTGGGTGTGGGTCTGGGGTATGGGTGTGGGTATCAATGAAGAGAAAGTCAACACCTACACTCACACCCACAACCCACTCTAAAATTTTATTCTAAAACGAATTCTGCGTGCAATCCTCATGCGTTTCATAGTTTTTATTATGAATTATTCATGAACATTTTACAATAATGATGAAAAATAAAATTTGCACCGTTATTAAAAAGTGTATTTGCATGATCGAATCAAATAAGACTAAAATCTTCTCAATTTACTCTTTCGAATCATTACATCGATAAATCATCTTAATTTCACGAAATAATCGATTTTTCAAAAAATCTCTATTTTTTTTAGCATCAGCACATATCTACTGCAATACATAAAAAAAATGTCTTGTTCTCTTTCATCAAAAAAAATGAAAGGGCATTGGCGATAGACTGTTATAAAAGGCAAGGTTTTACCACATGAAATGCCTTGGGGTGTGGGTGAGTGTGGATGTGTGTGTGGGTGTGGGGTGGGGGTGGGGATGGATATTTGACTACATAACAACGCCCACACCAACGCTAATACCCGCACCCACATCCACACCCACACCTCACACCCCACCCACACCCACACGCACACCCACACCTACACCCACACCCTTTGTCTTGTTTTTGGTATTTTCTTTCAGTGATTATCCAACATGCGGCTGAAAGTACATTTAATAGTTGACTGACTATAATAAGGACATTATCTATATCTTTTTACAAGTTTCTTAGAATCCATTGGTTGACGCTTTCTTAACGTTTCATAATGTGTACCTATGAACAGATGAATAAAATCTATTAACTCATTCCAATTTTGATCATTCGACAGCCGGTCTACATATTGATATGTGTAAAATTCATCTAAATCAATCATTTGTGCAGGATGTATATAATGCCAACTACTGGGTTCCTGAACTCTGAAAGCTTCTTTTAAACCGAACTCCTTAATAATTCCATCAGGCGATCGTCTCAAAAATCCTGGTAAAATAGTCATATTTAATCCTAAGCTGAAGACAAGGCAGGACAATGCAACATCGGACAATGCAGCGGACTTATGGTTAGGTTGGGGCCAAATCGATTCGACGTAAAAGAATAAATGAGGATACAAAGCTTCAACTAGTGCTGCACTTAATACATGTGCGGTGTTGCCACCAACAAATAGACTCTTGTAAGTAGTTCCATTCTTATGATAGCACATTTGTTCACCAACAGAACCTCCAATAAAATATGGTTGTGTAAAATTATATGGTTCAAGTTGTTTAAGAAGATGTGGCACATTGACGTAAGTGTCACAGCCAACTAAAACATACCATTTGTGACGTTTAGATGGATTTATAGCTTGCTGTTGTCTATAAATTAATTCGAGACCATGAAAGATCTTTTTAGTATTCGATTGGTAATTCTCACCAGTGTTTTCTATAACAGTAACGGGTAAGCTCGGATAGGGCGTCGAGGCAAGAAAATAGTAATTAGTCACACGAGATATCCATGTCTCTCGTACACTCATGGCACGTGTCGCAAGTAGTGAGGCACCTGTATAAATGATAAATGCAATGTCGATTTCTTGGTATCGTTTTGCTTTCTGCCAACCACTAGTTGGATTTGGGATTTTCGAGCAATACACTTTAAGATTTTTGGCTGGATGTGATCGATTTTTAATCCAAGGAAATTCTAAAGTTTCCGAGTTGTGATCACAAACAAAACTCCTATGGGAAGAGTTTGTAGAGAAAATACTAGCTGATGATTTAAACAACCGAAGTACATAGTCGATGTTGTTATAGTTGTGTGGGATGTAATTACGAAAAAGACATAGTAGCAAACAGATGCTAAGACAAAGTGTTAACCGAATACGAGATTCGCGCATCTGAAAAAAGATCGAATTAAAATACATAGCATTACGGATTCCACTGGTCATACACTTATTACTGTGACCAGTCGTTCTCTATACTATCATTTAATTTTCTCCGTTTTCCCTTCTCGACCTCTCTCTCTTTCACTCACATCTTGAAATATTTCTGTTCGCATATAGTTCATCAACCATCCTTGGCTGAATCATCTCATGTTCTTCCCCTTCGACTTTGTGATATACTTCGCACGTGAATATGTAAGAGAATACACATAAATAACCCAAAAACGTTATGGAATGCACTAGATATAAGTTGACTTCAGCCTAGAAAGCAAAATAGCTCGATAACACAAACAAAGATACATCAAATCCAATTTCAATCAAATCTAATGGTTAGATTCAACAGAACTTGGTTTTTTTTGAATTTTTCATAATAAATATATTTACAAAAGTTAATAATTTGAAAGCAACCTGTTCAGAACCAAATCTAAGCTGAGAATCGCAACTGAATTTGAATGGATTCAGAATTGATGCATCTTTAACCAAAAGGAACTTGTCGTGTATTAAAAAACTTTTTGCTAGTAGAAGCATGAATATTTAAAGATCGTGGTAAGGCTTTTCGAAATCAGTACGATGATCTCATACCTTTTTTGAGAATTCCTTATGGACATCAGCGAGTTGAATAAGTGTTTATTAAGCTCAAAATCTTTCCTTTCATTCACTTTTTCATTATGTTTAATTGAAAAGTTCAAAAATCTATAGCTAAAAATTGCCGATATCTCGAATGGCTGTAGCTAATCAACATTTTTCAAGGTATGCCTCAAGCAACCATTCGCTACGCATTTCGAGGCGTCAGCTTCAGCTTCGCGAAGTCGTTAAAACTCTATTTAGAGTCTTGAGATTCAGTGTTTTCAGATACATTAAGCGTTCCTGGATGGGTGATTTAACACGCAATTTATGACCACTCAAATGAATATTTCCGAGGAGATTGAAATTCGATCGAAGTAAAAAGGATATCGTTCTATAGATGGTTCATTCTCGAATCGTCGAAATCTATCGATGTATTGAGAGGAGAAAATTCGAATACTTATATTTATCATGGAGTTTCGCCGAACACCCAAACCAAATGTAAACTATTACTCGTCTACAAAAGTTACCTTTTCAATTGAGAAAAATGATAATAGTATTAAAATTGTCTACTATTTTGACATTTGCTAGCTATCTTCAATACTTAAATATATATTATTCGTTTTTTATTTAATAGAAAAAGCCTGTGCACGTCCTTGACTAAAAGAAAAGTCTTTCTCAAACTTTAGGTTTCGTATAAAGAGTTTAGCTGATAAGTAATTGACTTGTATGATAAGGTATAAAATTATCCCAGGTCGATGATTACGTCGACCGTAAACGACCGTATACAACCGCTTACGTTACCGTAAACGGTCGTAAACGCTGAAATTATGACGGTAAACGGGTCGTGTTTCACCCGTTTGGTAGCGACCATATTACGGCTGTATAACGCCGTGACGTATACGGCGAAACACACCCATCGTATACACCAAAACCTATGCCGTAAAACGGACATCTTTCAACGGGTACCATCGGAAACGCCCATGTATACGGCCGTATATCGC